CCCCACACACACACCAGACACAGTCACACACTGCCCCCACACACACACACCATACACATTTACACACTGCCCACCCACACACTGAATCTTTCACACACATTGCACCACTGCTCCTATACCCTACTACAGCCCCATATCCCAGCAGACTCCAGGTAAGTTGTCAAACTGTTCTTAAACGGTTTGACGACTTACTCTGGGAGGGGGTGCCGACGCTCCTGGCACCATAACCACTACACAGAGGAGTAGTGGTTATTGTGCATGGAATATTTCTTTAAATAATCTACAAGTGCCCCTCTCAGGCTCAGGCTCTGGATCCGCCATTAGTATATGACATGTATATTAATGTGTGTATTAGTTTTATATCTCTATTATATTTACACATATTAATGTACATTTATAAATGCATAATACACAGAGAAATTTCATTAATATGTACCATATGTAATGAGCAGATATTGGCCCAGTCTTGTTGCTAGGTGCATACTCCAGCACATTAACATATTTAAAGTGAAGAGCACACCCACAGGACTTCAAAATAAAAAAATTTCAGTTGTGCCCTACAAACATTCACCATTTCAGTCCCATTAACAAGCTTTCCTTAATATGTCAAGGTAGTTGGACTGAAACATTGATTACATGCAAAGGCACGTCTGCTTAAAATAAATCTGCACTTTTATTTATTTTGAAGCCTATGAGTGCGCTTTTTACGTTGAAGTACTTTTTAATTTTAAGTTATCTGTTCTAACTCTGTATCTGCACACTATGCTGGCGCGATGCATTATGGGGCTGGTAAATATTTTTTTTCCAGGGCTGCTTTTAATTCCCAGTCCGGCCCTGTATATCTATCTATCTATCTATCCATTCATCCATCCATCTATCTAATCTATCTATGTACATAACGATACTAGCGTTATGGGGAAGCATGTGAAATTAATGCCACCGAGATTTTTTGAGACATCATGCTCCTTTAATTTAACTCTTCTCCTAATAATAATATGATGGGAGAGGCAGGCTTACTCTGTTTCTTTCTCAGCACTTTTTTGCCCATTATAAATTATTGGAGATGGCTGAATTAAATAGCAAGCTAAAAAAGTGTAACCCACCCTAATTTCAGTCAAGCTAGGACAAATATGATCCTGCACTCTACTGAGATTAGGGGCCCTCTCCATGCTGCACGATGTTAGACAGACTGTGATAAATATCTGCCAGATGATGTAAGCCACTGCACAGTACTGGGTTGAAACACATGATCAGCCCATTGTAATAACCATACCATGTAATATGTATATGTCTGTCTGTATGTGCATTAAACGTACATCCAGGTTTTCAAACTTCCATAAATGGTTAATACAAAAGAGAGATTAATATAGCAAGCTGAATATTCCAGGTATGTCACAAACCTATTTATTAATGTAAATCTACTGTAAATGAACAGCTGTGTGGCCATACCAACATATACTGCAGCTGTAATATGAGAATGTTATTCCAAACTGTTTATTAACCTTTAATGCTTAATAATTTCCTTGTCTAAACTGTACCATCTACAGAGTGATACTGCTATAGGACACATGGTCAGTGTCATTGTGCGGTGTAATGCCAAGTATACCTAAAAAATGCCTGGGAGGAAGATATCAATTACCTGCAATAGTTAATATATACAACAGAAAGGCCAGACATGCTCTCGTAAAAAAGAAAGCAATTCAATATAATGAACTTAAAGCCCTATATACTGGTTAATGAGATAAAAATTATCGTCAGAGCTATTTACTAAAGTGAGAAGTCAAAGTGAATTCAAAACGAGTTTCAAATTTAAGGTAAAAAATTGCTCAGTTACAAAAATTCTCTAAGTCAACTATGCTTTAATTTCAATTACTCTGGCCATAAATTTTAAATTCACTTTGAATTCACTTTGACTTTAGTAAATAACCCCGATAATCATTATTTTGAATTATTTAAAATTGCTACTTTTTGCTTCACTCACCATTATGTTTTCTCTTTGCTTTTGTACTAGTTTGTCTAATTATACAGGTGATACTTGAAAAATTAGAATATTGTGCAAAAGTTCATTTATTTCAGTAATGCAACGTAAAAGGGGAAACTAATATATGAGATAGACGCATTACATGCAAAGCAAGATAGTTAAAGACGTGATTTGTCATAAGTGCGATGATTATGGCTTACAGCTCATGAAAACCCCAAATCCACAATCTCAGTAAATTAGAATATTGTGAAAAGGTGCAATATTCTAGGCTCACAGTGTCTCACTCTAATCAGCTAAGTAAGCCATAACACCTGCAAAGGGTTTCTGAGCCTTTAAATCGTCTCTCAGTCTGGTTCAGTAGGAATCACAATCATGGAGAAGACTGCTGACCTGACAGTTGTGCAGAAAACCATCATTGACACCTTCCATAAGGAGGGAAAGCCTCAGAAGATAATTGCGAAGGAAGTTGGAGGTTCCCAAAGTGCTGTATCAAAGCACATTAATAGAATGTTATGTGGAAGGGAAAAGTGTGGAAGAAAAGGGTGCACAAGCAGCAGGGATGACCGCAGCCTGGAGAGGATTGTCAGGAAAAGGCAATTCAAAAGTGTTGGGGACTTTCACAAGGAGTGGACTGAGGCTGGAGTCAGTGCATTAAGTGCCACCATACACAGACGGATCCTGGACATGGGCTTCAGATGTCGTATTCCTCTTGTCAAGCCGCTCCTGTACAACAAACAACGTCAGAAGCGTCTTACCTGGGCTAAAGAAAAACAGACCTGGTCGGTTGCTCAGTGGTCCAAAGTCCTCTTTTCTGATGAAAGCAACTTTTGCATCTCATTTGGAAACCAAGGACTCAGAGTCTGGAGGAAGAATGGAGAGGCACACACTGCAAGATACTTGAAGTCCAGTGTGATGTTTCCACAGTCTGTGTTGATTTGGGGAGCCATGTCATCTGCTGGTGTTGGTCCACTATGCTTCATTAAGTCCAGGGTCAACACAGCCGTCTATCAGGAGATTTTGGATCACCTGCAGATGAGAGATTTTGGAGCTTCTTTCCGCAGACAAGCTTTATGGGGATGCTGACTTAATTTTCCAGCAGGACTTGGCACCTGCCCACATTGGCAAAAGCACCAAAGCCTGGTTCAATGACCGTGGGATTACTGTGCTTGATTGGCCAGCAAACTTGCCTGACCTGAACCCCATAGAGAATCTATGGGGCATTGCCAAGAGAAAGATGAGAGACATGAGACCGAACAATGCAGAAGAGCTGAAGGCCGCTATTGAAGCATCCTGGTCTTCCATAACACCTCAGCAGTGCCACAGGCTGTTAGCTTCCATGCCATGCTGCATTAAGGCAGTAATTGCTGCATAAGGGGCCCAAACAAAGTACTGAGTCCATATGCATGCTTATACTTTTCAGAGGTCCGATATTGTTCTATGTACATTCCTGTTTTATTGATTGCATGTAATATTCTAATTTACTGAGATTGTGGATTTGGGGTTTTCATGAGCTGTAAACCATAATCCTCACACTTATGACAAATCACAGCTTGAACTATCTTGCTTTGCATGTAATGCGTCTATCTCATATATTAGTTTCCCCTTTTACGTTGCATTACTGAAATAAATTAACTTTTGCACGATATTCTAATTTTTCCAGTATCACCTGTATATTGTTTTATCTTATTGCAGTATACATTTCTTTGTCTGTTCTTGAAAAAGTTTTTCACAGACAGAACCTTTTTGAAAAACTGACAGCATCAGGATTTCATTTATTATTCAAACCCAATCAAGAAAAGAGCTTGTCTGTCTTCACTGCCCAAACCACCGACATGGCTATGTCCCCATTATACTACTTGCAGTTTCGCCATTTCATTGGCTCTCTCCCATGTCAGGAACACCTTCGGAGGCTTCTGACGCATTTTGATCTATAGTGCATCTTAGGGGAGTGCCTACATCCAAGTATTTTTGAGCTACTCATGTTACTCCTGGCAAATGATCCCACCAAGGTGCATGTGCCACCGGGTAACAGTAAACAAAAAATTGTATTCTGAACCTTCTCCTTGAAAATACTGGAGACAAATCACAATCTCTCCTCAGGTGTGGTATAGGGCTATTGCACTCCCTCCATTTTCAGAAATCAGCCTGGCTCTTGTTGGTGGTGGGGGACAGAAGAGGGTGCTCTGCTACATATCTTGTGCAAGTGTTCAGAGATAGTGCCGTACTGGGGAAGCTTACCTTCTCCTATATAAAAAATCTCTGCTCAAACACCTCTTGAATGCTGTCAAGACTCTGCACTCATCCTCGGAGGTTCCAACAATGGGATGCAAAGTTTGAGGAAATTGAGGAACCATGGAGAAGATAACAGCCTCCGTATACCAAAGACCGAATCATTATCGCTCCACTTAGCTGGATTCCCTGGACGTAGAACATCTGAGGAATGGGGAGACATGTTATGGGGCTGCCGGGGGAGTGGATGGCTCCCTTCCAGTCTCCTGATCTTTCGTATTATTAGCTCTTTGACTTTTCTGTCTTTTCCACCTGATTTTCTTCTCTTCTCCCTTCTCTAATTCATGTGGAGTGTCGGCCCTTAACTTATCCCCCTCTCTTTTGCTCATTATTCCTAGTTCCCTACCGAAACACATCAGCCTCTGGATTTAGTCCAAGGCTTCCTCTACTCTACCTGGGTCACATTATCTCACATTATTTGAGACTACAGAATGAGGTGCACCACTTGTTTGTTGTTCTCATGAGCATGTTTTGGAAAGTCTCTATTTAATTTCTGGAATTCCTACCTCTTGGTACCATATTTCTGGGGGGTTTTGCCTCCCTTGCGTGGGATATTTTCTCCTGATTTTTTTGTCTTTGTTTTTGAATTGATCAAAACTATTACATAAAGATTGACAAAAAAAGAATGCTGATGACGTCACCAAGGGGGTGGAGCCAGTGCCGGCGGACCCGCACGGCGCTGGAAATAAGAAGATTAACGTGCTTCCACACATCTTTCTTTATATCACAGACTATCAGAGTTTAAATAATTTTGGTGACTACGAAACTTCAAAGAGTGATAAAAGGAAGATTGTGTGGGAAATCGTGTCAGAATTTGAGAAGCTCCTACCAAAGGAATGTAATATACTGGTCCTGAATGCAATGGGAATTGTAGCTACGCCAATGGGATCCAGTAGTAATCACCCTCTTGAACTGGAACATGAAAGATCTGGCTTTGGGCTCATCATACCTAAAATGAATGGAGTAAAAGCCCGGACATTCAATTTCATAAATGATCCATTTTTTGATGAACGTACACTACAACAAGTTGGCCTTAGAAATAACCCTGGCCTTAAGGTGATCCTGATGTTTGAACACCCCAACTGTACACAAGCAGAAATCCGCTACCTTCGCCAAGTAATAGATCCTCTAATTGATCAAAATGTCATCATTGTAGGGGGGCAGGTGGAGATCTTGGCTCCACTCTTTCAGCTAAAAGTTTAACACCGATTGGCGCTGGTGGTTTAACATTCAGTGGCCCACAGATCTAGGCAGCCTCAGTCATTCTAGACCTTGATGTGGACAAAGTGGAGGCTGCAGACTCTATAATCCAGTGTCTAAAAGAAATGAATATCCCTGACGAAAACAGCATAAGGTTCATGATTGCATTCCATTGGCGAGGAAAACAGCACTATGGCAAGGACAATGTGGAGGTCGATTTGTTCCGTAAGCACTTCCCAAGCATGCCTCTTTTTGGCTTCTTTGGAAAGGGCGAGTAGGTACTTATAACTTAGTACGTGGCAATTTTAGCTCTGAGTTTTTTGAGACCAGGCACGAAGTTTGGCATTGTTACACTACAGTGATGCTTATCATTCATTTTGGCAGTTAGCTGCCCCAGCAGATACACTGCAAACAGTTTCTGTGGCCCTGCTCTACAGCCTGTCAATCACTGAGTTCTCCAAACTAGTGGACTAATATCGCTGGAGCAAAGTATATTGTTGTCAATACTAGGTTCCTCATTTGTCATTCTGTGTACCTGTATTGTATTCTATTGATGTATCTGTACCTTAGTGGTATTTTCTATGTCAGGGTGTAATAGATCCATCACAGTTGTACGATTGTGGAACTATTATTTCTTGACGTTCTTATGTCAATTCATCTGTTTTGTGTGTGGTTTTCTTTTGCTTTGGTATTAACTCAAAACATTTAATACATCAAATAAAAAACTATTCTAGTTAATGCTATCAAGAAAAGAAATATGAAACTATACACATTAACTAAATAATACATATTTTGTCCTCCTTCATTCAGTAGGATTCAGCTTTAATTTCATATGCATTCAAAACAATGTAATAATTTAAATAACACATCATATTAGTAGCAATTACTTCAGCTATTGACTGTAGACTATATTTTGCATAGTCTCCAATATTTACCGATTAAAAGGAAAGTTCAGAGTTTTAACCCTTTGGTTGCTAGATGGACGGTCTGCACAACGAGAAGAATGAAAAGGGTTTATGTTTTGTTTGCTGTTTTTGGTCATGTCAAGCTGCATATTAAAATTGATGCTTTTCCCAGCTGGCAGATCAACAGATTGCCTCCAACTACACGACCATATTTTTTTTCTTTCATCATTGTTGAATAATCAAAATATTTGAAAAGACAGCAGCCAGTACTGTCGCCATTTGTGAGGATTTATTTCTGGGACTTGTGACATCTGGCAGAGAAAAGTACGGAGCCCGGTTTAGAATTCACTGATGCTGCGCGCTCACATCTGGAGTCTAGACTTATTGACTCCACAGTTGTACTCTCTGATGCTGTCTCTTTAACACTCATTGTTTACTTAGGTGGGGTTGGCTTACCATTGCGTTCCTGGTCACTGGGAAGATGAGGATTACAATTAGAACAATATTGGTAACTCTTTCTGAGTCACTGCTCAATAGTAGTTTGCAATCAGCTGCATCTTTTTTAGTTAAATGAAAAGTAAAAATAAAATAAAATGTGCTTCGAGTTTTTGAGTGTACATGCTGCAAATTCTATAAAAAATCATATTAAGCAACTTCAGTGATGACCTGCGTGGAACAACTGCAAAGGTGGCTGCTGGGTGGGTTTGTTAATCTCATTCCAAGGCAGCTTGCAGGTGTGATTAAATCTCTATTAACATTATCACCTCTGAATGTATTTATATAATGTTTCTGCCTTTTGTTTTATAGTGTAATACTTTAAGGCTGGCAATGCAGCATGGGAGTTTTTGACATACTAAACCTGGGAGTCTATCTTTTGATCATATTTAGAATTAGTTGGTTTGAAAGTAAGTAATATTTTTGCTGTCATATCTGCTGTAATATAAAAAATCTTTACTATCTGGGCCATGCCTGTTTATCCAATTAGTTTGCTGCCTTTAAAGTTTTATGGTAGTGATAGCTTAAAGGGGCACTCCACTGCCCAACTACATATATATATAACCATTTAGTAGATATGCCCCTAATGAAAACATGAATTTCACAGTGAGAAGACGCCAGCGTTGAGAATGCTTTCCTATGAGACTGGCTGAATGTGTGCGCAGCTCTTGCATTCAGCCGATGACGGGAAAAGAAGGAGGAGAGTCTCCAGCACTGAGGGAGCCCGGCGTTGGAGAAAGGTAAGTGTTTAACCCCTACCTCTCCATCCAGCCCGGCGGGAGTGGGACCTTGAGGGTAGGGGCACCCTCAGGGCACTATAGTGCCAGGAAAACGAGTTTGAGAAATCAGGGCTACTTTAAGGGTCTAGAGTGTCCCTTAAAAATCAAACAATTCCTGTGATCATTTTTTTTTTATACCTTGTGCTTTTTACACGACCCTATAGGTAAGGAGTTTTCACTTTTCAATTACACTTACTCTATGTGCACCATATTAGCCAAGATTGTGTATGCATATGGCTCACTCTATTACTTCGATATTTAGGAGTGAAGCCCCCTTTCTTATATACTTCTCACATAAGGCTGTTACATGCTGCTTTAGTTTCCTTGATACTGTAAGTCATTTTGGAAGTTTATATTATCATCCTTGTGGTTAAAATCACAAGAGATTTAGATACATGATATGGTTTTATTTGATACATTTGGTTTTAGTTCTAGAGTTATACCAGCTGTTAAAAATATATATTTTTTCATTGTTGGAATTCAACTTCTGCCTTGATTTTGGATCTATTATTTGCTATAATCATATTTAGTGTACTTTTATGTTTATCTATTTTTATTTTCATTATCTGTGGAGCACACATACATTTTTCAGGTTTGAATCTTACAAATTAAAGGACCACTCTAGGCACCCAGACCACTTCAGCTTAATTAAGTGGTCTGGGTGCCAGGTCCCTCTAGGATTAACCCCTTTTTTTATAAACATAGCAGTTTCAGAGAAACTGCTATGTTTATAAATGGGTCAATCCAGCCTCCAAATCCTGTAGTGGCTGTCTCATTGACAGCTACTAGAGGCGCTTGCCTGATTCTCACTGTGAAAATCACAGTGAGAACACGCAAGCGTCCATAGGAAAGCATTGTAAATGCTTTCCTATGAGACCGGCTGAATGCGCGTGCAGCTCTTGCCGCGCGTGCGCATTCAGCCGAAAGGGAGGAGAGGAGGAGGATCGGAGGCGGAGAGCTCCCCGCCCGGCGCTGGAAAAAGGTAAGTTTTAACCCCTTATCTCTCCCCAGAGCCGGGCGGGAGGGGGTCCCTGAGGGTGGGGGCACCCTCAGGGCACTATAGTGCCAGGAAAACGAGTATGTTTTCCTGGCACTATAGTGGTCCTTTAAGTCACTCATCACATGTATGTTGCTACCCAGCTTATATAGGGTTTTAGTTACCCTTTTCAGTTATTAGCTTTTATATTTGTTTGAGGATGTCTATCTTTTTAGCACAAAGACAATGAGAAATGCTATTACAGGTATACCAGATATTTCAATAGGTTTATTAAGCACCATAACTACAACTAAATGTAGTGTTTATTGTGAAGAAAGTTTGCAGGATTTTATACTCTGCCAGGTTGTCTCAAACCATTTTCAAGCAGTTTGACAAAAAAAGGCTCCTCCCCCAGGGCTAAACCTCAGCATCTTCTACATTGCTAATCTGACCAAGCAGCAGGTGAGAGGCAGGCAATAAACCAGGAAATATATATATATATTTTTTTTTTTTTTTTAAATCAAATCTCTCAATCATAATATTCTAGATATGTTAAAAAAAACTGCTCAGTGTATGAGAAAAGTTAAATATTTATTTTCTGCATTAAATTCAACCATAATAATGGGATGCCTAAATATGTCTTCAAAATATGAGTGTATGCTTTAAAAAAAAAAAAAAGACACATGCAAATAAAAAAAATAATAAAAAAAAAATTGGATCCTCAATAGTTAATAGTAAATTAAGTGAATGTGTTGATGTTTTAGGTCAAAGAGGAAAAACTGCTTCTGTACAAGAGCTGCAACTGAGCAAAGACTCGTTATATCCCTTTGGTTGTAGTGATAAACCCGTTTTTTTGTTTCATCTGCATGTATTCTGTAATTATACTACATTTAATATAGTCCAACAGTGTGTCTTCTGTAATTATACAACATTTAAGATAGCTTAATTTGAGAAAGGATTTTATTAGACATAAATCTGGAACTGTCTGAATGGTTACCTCTCCAGGTTGTGGCATCATTTTTTTCTTCTCCAATTTGGTCCTCGATAACTGGTATATGATTTTATGCCACAGTATACCAGAGAAAGAAATTAAACATGTTGCCATATGGTGTTTTAAAAAAAATGTGCAACATACATAGGACATACAGAGTATACTACAGGTTCTACTAAAATCACATCCAGGATTATTCACTAACGTGTGAATTGTCCGGAATTCCAAGCGAATTAAAAAGAGAATTGATTAAATAACCAGTTTCTCTAGACCAGGTATGAGTTTAGTTTTTTTTTTTTTTTTTTAAGATAAAATGATCTAAAATGTGAAACTGATTTGCAATTTACTTGGAATTCCTGACAATTTTCTTTTCTTTTTGAAATTCCTGACAATGAACACTTTACTTATAACAAATACTTTGGAGGCGTTGGCCATGTATCATGTACAGCACACTTGTTTTTATTGTTTTCAGTGAACACTTTACAGAAGGCCAGGAAAAGTACTTATGACAATGAAAGCATTTTATTACATCCATACAGATTGCACTAGTGGAATACAGTATTTAATTCTATGTTTCACAAAGAGCTCAGAATAAATGCATATCCCTACTCCGAGTCGCCAATACCTGAGGTTGAAGCACAGACATAGTAATTGCTTTTACCATTTGTATTATTGATGATATTGGTGGAGACACCAGTTGAATTATAATGTCCATCAGAAGTTTTATTTCAGCTTCATGTTAATGCACTTTCCATAGTTCACCTATGTCAGGAAATTAGAGCATCAGTCAATGTTCTCACAGACCTCAGTAAAAAGCTTCTTTTTTTTTAAAATTAAAAAAGCAACAAAAAAACTAA